GGAAACGGGGGGGGGGGGGGCAGGAGAATGGTTGTAAAACTGTGTTTAACAAGTATCCCAGAAGTATGGCTGACTAGCTGTTCATATGCTAAAACTTTAAGCAGTGCACTAGGTCAAGTGACTCCAACCTTTTTGAACTTTTGCAATATTTGCAAAATTATTCTAGGTGCCACTACAAAACAGAGCAAGTGGATAGACATGTAATGATTGTCCTGGAATCTAGCTAGCTGAAAGTGAACTAAAAGGGCTGGTGGAAAGAAATAAGCTGGAGGCAGGGGCAAATTGCAGGGCAAAGGGGTTGAGGGAAGAGAAAGCTAGGCTAGAGGCTGGGAGAGGAGAAAACCACCAGGGTAATGTGGATGGGAGAGAACAGCAAATCTAGAAGCTGGGAGACAAGAAACTGAGGGAGAAATAGTGAAACTGGATAGCAAAGCAAGGGAGTAGCAGAGAAGAGCACAACCAGAGACTAGAAAGGGAGTGAAAGGAGACTGAGCTAGCATTTTCCTTGGTTTTAATTAAAACAAGCTTTTTGAAGGGAACACGGAGGAGAGAGCTTTGTGAGTGCTTCAGGAGGTCCCCATGGGTGCTCCATTTGGGATCCCTTTATTAGGTGGTAAGCAATTCTGTGGTTTCACCCTTACACAGTAAGAGTTGATGTACATTTGCAGAATGATGTGATACAATCCAGGAAACACTATACGACACATTAAAACCAAACCAAACCTTAGAAAAACCATAAATCAGGGTAATGTGTACTTAGAACACAACAGCCAACCATTGTTGAAGATTAACTGAATATTGAGAAGCATTTGCTGTTGTCGCATAATAGTCCAATATGGTTTCATTTGGTGTTCAGAGGTAGCAAATCGCAATTACACTAATTTGCCTTCAGTTGTATATTCTTCAGTTTAATGAAATTATCTTTGAGAGAAGTACTACAGGAGAGTAGTGGAGTCAGAAAAGTGGGACTTTGGGGGATTTTTTTTCTAGGAGAACCTTGATTTTGGCTTTAGGCATGAAAATGCCTACCTTTTTAGCCAATACTAAATTTTAAAAAAGCTTTGTCATAGAAACTAAGATATCAACTAAGATATCGGGCAAATCTTAGTTCATTCAGTCTGAGCTTTTCTATTAATGTCTTTCTACCATTGCAATGTCTAGTTCCTTTGAAAACTTTTCAGTGAAGTAACTGAGTTGTTTAAAAACAGTTTGTTGTTTAACAAACTGTTGAGACAACAGCTGTTAGATTACATGGTTCTAGTAGAATCTTTAATGCATGATATATAATGCAAATAGCTATAGTATCATCAACTTATCCACAAACAGATTTTAAAGCTGTACCTATCCTATCAACCTCTAGTCATGTCTAGTTGTTTTAAATACAAGAAAGCATCTTATTCTTTGTTATCCTTCATACCTATCATCTTCATCAAACTAATATGAAATACAAGTAATCCAAGCCATATTGTATTTGGAATCAACTGGTAACTAATTTATGGCACTGGGCAGACAGGCAAAAGCCTTTATAGTAGAGGTGGGCAACATGTAACCTTTCAGATTTTTTTTCTACAACTCCCATCATCCTTTACCATTAGCTGTGCTGGGCATGGCTGGTGGAGTTTCATGCCAAAACATCTAGAGGGCTACAAGTTGGCCACCCCCTACTCTAGAAGCTGCTGTCTGTTTGCCCAGTGCCATAAACTAGTGAGAAGTGTTCTAATACTAGTGGGCTGCTGCAGCATAAAACATATAACATGTTCAATAGATTTAACAAAACTTCACTAAGTAAGGCACATGGTGTTGTCATGGCTGCAGAAAACTGTATCTTTAATCTGTGAGAAAATGTTGACCATGAGATATAAAAGGCATATTGTTTGAAGGCTTAAAACACATACAGTGCTGGGGTGCAGTCTTCACTATATGCAGGCCTGAATCTGCAGAGTTTGATTCTGCAGTGCTTTCACTGTTACTGGGGACTGTGTAGTTAGCACCCTTTAGAACCGGAAAGACAAACCAAGGGTAACTGCAGTATATATTTGATTGCAGGCCCAACACTGGTGACACTAATTACAGAATTAAGTAATTAGTGTTTACTGAAAATAGGATTTGTGCGTGTGTGTGTTCCCTGAGTGTTACCAGGATTGCATTCAGAAGCTGATCTATATTAAGAACAAATAATGAGATTTTTCCATTTACTTAGCTATGAGTTTAATGTAACTTAGTTACATTTTGTTTTAAAAGATTTTGATTTTAGATTTGATTTCCTGTATTGGGGAAAATGCATTACTTTTAATTGCTCTTTTAAAAAAGTGTAACCAATTTAGAAATGGACTGAGTAGAAGCTTTATGATGGATCATTAAATATGTAAGTATCAGCAACTATTATATTGGTATTGATAGTTGACAGGTTATTACCTATATTTACTTAGAGCCCAGTCCTATGTATATTTACACACTAGCAAGCTTCACTGAGTTCAAATTGAGAGGGTGGCTCTTTTATAGTGCAAGTATGTGTAAGTTGACTTAAAAGTAAGCCCCAATAAGTTCAGTGGGACTAGCTTCTAGGAAAGTATACAAGATGGCAGCCCAAGTCTGCTGTTATAAAAACAGCAAAAACTGTTGTAGTCCCCAAAGACCAGCAAATTCATTTGCTTGAGTTCACATAACACCACAACCCACACTCAAGTTTAAGTGCAGGTTGGTCCTGAACTGTGAATTTTTTGTTGTAGTGTGCATTGTTGTAGTGTGAACCCAGCTGCACTAGCAAACAATGTACATCTCAGCCCACATTTCACAAATGATAGTTTTTTATGATTAACAAACCATGGTTTGTTAGAGTGGCTAAAATCAAAGAGTCCACACTCTGCCTTGAATGTGGGTTGTCTTGCTCTGTAAATGCAACCATCGTGACATAAACTTCAGTGGACTAGAATCCAAGTCATAAGATGCATGTAATCTATAAACTTTTCCTGGTTGTTTTCTTCCTCAGCAATGCTTCTTCTGGCCATGAATCTAAGAAAAAAAATTTTTAACAATGCCTCAGGTGGCAGGATTGATACACTTAAATACAACATTGTGTAAATGGACTTCCCATTGCTCTCTCTCCCTGCAATGCTCTTCCTCCTCCCTACTTCCTAGGTTTCATCAGTTTTCTGAAGCAGATCTGTGGAGCTGTTGTGGAAAAGGCAAAACAGTTACATGGGTTGTTTGTGTTCTGCAGGCAGATCATCAGGGCTGGGTACAACTGATAGGCAGAATTGGCACGTGCAAGAAGGATTACATACCTTTTTGTCACCTGTTAATTCTCTTCCAAAAATGCACACACATTGGTAAAGAAGCACTGGGTTGGGTACATCACAGTGATATACAGTTGTAGCACTTTTTTGACTACTTCATGTCAACACTCCCAAAATATAAGAAAAGAAATGCCAGGAACAACCCACAGACTTGTTTGAATAATGGAAGGAAGCTTCTGAAGAAAAATTCTTCCTTTTAATCTATATTTATCACATTTCTATACAATAGCTTTTGCTATTGGTTCACCAAAATTAGCATTTTGAGTCCCTGCTTACCATCTTCATTCTTTGTCTGATGGCAGAAATAAATCCAGTTAAACCAGGTCAGAAGTACAGAGTAGCTAATAACATGCAGTCTCATGATAGCTAAAAAAGGCAACATTTGCAGAGGTAAGGGACAGTGAAAGCAGTCCATGAACAAGCAATAGGGTCCAAAGTCTGAGAGACAAGAATCAGAAACGTAGAGGACACAAGGAACACTAGTGGTCGGAAAAGGGAAGCAGACTATTCTAAAAAGCACGAAGAACCAGTTTAGTAGCTTATTCCAACTACAAAGGACTCAAAAACTGGGGAGGTATTGAGTAGATCCTACAGGGTATTTACCTAAAAGTGGGGCTTGATTGACTCTTCAACTTTCTAGCTGCCTTGAGAGTTCCTTACATCTGTATTTCCTGCCTACCTCTAACAACAAGCACATACTATTCCTCCTTTGACTAGCTATCCAGTTGAGAGCATGCTTGCCATAAGTAGAGAATGACTGCCTGATTCCTATGAGGGGCTGAATCTCATGGAGTCAGTAGGACAGAAGGCTTATTTTAGCACAACAGACTTAATGTATCTTTTGAAATTCTTCTCAGCTACTTATGGTTAACTTTTTATCTTGGTTGTGCAGAAGTTGAGGATTTGAAAATGTTTGGTTCTTGCAGTTCTTGTTTTGCGAGCTAACAGAAAGTATACATCAGCCTCAAAGTTAGTGGGAGATTGGTCTATATTAACATATATGGCATGCCTCTTAGGCTAAATGCATTTGCAGTCTAATTATGTTTACTAAATTAATGGGGCATACTTGTGAGAAAGTATGGCCAAGATTGCAGTCTTAGGAATAAGTCCCGTTGGTGATTCATGTCTATATAAATATGATTAGCCTAGAGTTGTCACCATGGTAGATGATACATAGTAGATGATACAGTAAATGGGTTGTTGCTATTAGCCAGTTCATCCTATGATACTGACTCCTGAGTCTTGACTTCAATGGACTTTAACATGAAATAGCCCATTTAATTTGAAATAGGCTATTATTAGTGCTATTATTAGTTTCATTAGAGCTCGGCATAACAATCGTATGTACACTTACTTGGGAGTAAATCACATTGAACTCAGAGGGACACAATTGTGTGCTGGCTAAGCTAGTCTGAAACATTTGCACTTGTTAGCTCTGTGTAATAAGGAATTATTTCATTAATATTTTATTTCATTTTCTAGTTAGAATTCAATATCTAGATCTTTATGGCATTCAAATCATTTAAGAACATTTTTTTTTATAAAAATTCATGTACTTAAGCCTTGCTATTATTGAGCAGTTCATTTCACAGAGCATAAGACTCATCTCTGTACTCTCAGTAAATTTTCACACAGAATCCATATTGCCTTAGCATTGTTCAGGTGCTTAGTTACCAGTCCTTCGGTTTTGATTCCAAATATATTATGGCGTGGATGACTTGTATTTCATATTGGTTTGACGAAGAAGATTGGTATGAAGGACAACGAAGAGTAAGATGCTTTCTTTTATTTTAAAACACTGCTGTGTATTTTGTCTTGCTGCATCTTTCTTCTGTTTCTTTTGTGTTTTCATTCTAGTACCATCTGTATTTTGCATTGCAATACTATGATTGATATGGAATGTTTATTGGACTGATGAAAACTGAATTAATCCTATAATAAAGTGTTTTGTAATTATGTTATGTAGAGCTAAACATAAATTATCAGTTGGTAAACAGTGCTACTTCTCTGTGGTTGTATGTTCAGAATTCAATATATATTTAAAATGTCAATTTTATTGAGCTGGAAGAAATTGTATGCTACAAATGTGTCTATGTTAATTAAAAGGAGACTTCAGATAGATATTAAAACAGTTTTCAGAAAGGCATCACTGTCAGACTATCAGAGGATTGGTGTGGCTTTGACAGTATTTTATAAGAAGAAATGGGGTTGCTATAGCAAGCCTTTGTATGATGGCTCAGGAAAAACATGAGAAGACATTGGTCAAATCTGTCTATGCTTCAGGAAATTAGGAATAATTATAATTTTATGTGCTTAAGACAGGATAGAAACACTGTCGATTTTTTAAAAGCCTGCATTTTGATACACTGGGTGATGTATGGTTGTGCATAGCACAGATACTCCACCAATGCATAGATATATTTCCAGAGATCCTTTTTGTTGGTGCATTCTGCCTCTTGTATCTGCAGTTTTTCCTCATTATCACAGCGGGATAAAAGAGTCAGAACAAGAGTGTAAAACAAAATATTAAAACATTAGCAGGATTCAAGAAATAACTGTAGGTATTATCCTTTCTAAGAAGATAAGTACTTAAGTAGAACTTATTAATTTATTTAGTATCTCTATTTCCTTTTTTCCCCTGCAGAGCTCAAGGCAGCATACCTAGGTTTCTTTGCTGATGATATCCAGACATAATTAGCTCCAGCAAGGTTATATAGTTTCAGACCATAACATGAGAAATGAAATTAGCTAGGTTCTGTGGGAACAAAACAGGAACATGCTTGGTATGATCTAGCAAAAGAATTTTCACATACTGTTCCCAAACATGGAGCTGCTGTTGAAGAACATCTGGAAACCACAATGTGTATAAAATTGCAGTAGTTAGGTTGCTACCAGTGCCTGGTATTAGAACCACATTATACCCTTCTTGAAAGACCTGAACTGGATACTTTCCAGACACAATTCAAAATGTTTGTTTAACCTGTGGAGCTCTTAGCACCTCATTTATTTAATCAATTCATATACCACTGAGCATATTTAGATTATCTCTAAGTGGTTAGCCACAGGATCTGGCTATCTGAGGGATTGCCTGTCTCATTATGAACCTGCTTAGATACTAAGATACCTGAAGGAAAGGAAAGGACCTTCTGAGGGCACTATTCCCCTGGAGGTCTATTTGTCAACATGCATGAAAGGGCTTTCTCTTGTGTCATTCTGAAACTGTGGAATGTGCTTTATAAAGAACTATGGTTGGCCCTTTCTCTCTTGGCTTTTTGAAATACTGTAAAGGTACTTTAAAAAAACCTGGTCTTTTCAGTTAAACAATTTTAATATTTTTCTGTTTTTAATGCTCTTGTTTTTGTTGCTATTTTTACATGCTTAGGTACCACCTTGATGGCTTATTAACAAATAGCAAATAAGACAGAATATAAATGCTAATCATAAAATTCTTGAGTACGTATATACACATATGGCATATAGAGATGTATCTGTACTATGCATTACTCAGAAGCTGGTGTCATGTGTGGTATGAACTGGTGCAGTCCTATTGTTCATACTTTCTACTAGTGCACAAATGTTTTGCATGAGTATAAACTAGAAAATTAAAATGACAAGTGCCATTTTAGAAGAGGATGGACTAGGGTGAAAAAGTTTGAGAAATCAGACAAAAGTCAGGCCCAGACCACTGCCGAACAGTGATGATCATTCCATGAAGGGCTACAAATGGCTTCCCCATTTTCACAATTTACCTTCTGATATCTATCAAGAAATCACAGTTCACCTTCTGATATAACTGTCAAAAAACCCAAAATCAAGCTGTTTGCAGCCTGTCTGCATCAGTGCCCTGTAATGGCCACCTGCTGCATTTTGGCAACGGACACACTCCAGTACATTGCCCAGGTGAGGCAAATCAACTAAAAAATAACAATAAAAATTCAAAGGACAGTGCACATTTCTTGTGCTAAAAAATAATTAAGAGGAAGAGGATAAAATTGTGACAACTCCTTTAATGGGCTGCTTGGGCATTTTGAACGGGATGTCACTAGCTCTTTGCAAACTCAGAGTGGGGGCAGGAAATGGGTAAAAGAAAAGAAGAGCCATGACTAGTCCAAAAGGGTTTGTGATCACAGCAGGGGGAGCAAATCACTACACTGTGTTGCCTGGGCATTGGTGGGGTAGCTGGTGCTGGTACCAGTGGTGGCCTGTGCTAGGCTGGCTGAATGGTTTGCTATTGGCTCATGCAGCTTACAATATGGATGGTTGCCTGAGTTCACATGACATGACAATAGAGATAAGATTTTGATTAATTAATACATTAATACATTAATGAGATTTTGAAATCATTCTTAAAGCAAACTTAACTATAATGCTGGATAAATTTTGAAAACAAATCTTGATGATAGTTTTTAAAGGTATAAATTCTCCCTTGATTTTCCAGCCATAAAACTATGAGGCACTGCAGATAGGACCATGTTGTATTTATTTTTTTTATTTATTAAAACATTTTTATGCCGCCCCATTCGCCGATGCCTCGGGGCAGCTTACAACAAATAAGTTAAATAACATTTTAAAATATATACATTAAAATAAATTACAAATATACAATATAAAATAAGCTGCCCTGGCCAGAAAAATTCAATAATATTAACATTTAAAATGCTGCTTGAATAAAAAGGTCTTCACCTGGCACCGAAAAGCAAATAACAACGGCGCCAGGCGGACCTCTCTGGGGAGCGCATTCCATAACTTAGGCGCCACCGCTGAGAAAGCCCTCCTCCGAGTAGCCACTCTCCTAATTTCTTTCACAGAGGGCTCCCGGAGAAGGGCCTCTCCCGCCGATCTCAGGGGGCGGGCAGGCATATATGGATGTAAGCGCTCCTTCAGGTAACCAGGACCCAAGCCGTTTAGGGCTTTATAGGTCATCACCAACACCTTGAATTGGGCCCGGACTTCAATGGGGAGCCAGTGAAGCTGACGGAGAACTGGAGTCATGTGTGCATAACGTCCAGACCCCGTCAGCAACCTGGCAGCTCTATTTTGAACTGTATGACCCAGGCTTTGTAAGTAGGAAAGCTAAATAGCTGGCTATAAAATGATCCTTTTGCCCATGCTGTCAGTTTGCTCTTGCACCTCATTTTCATCAGTAGCTTGTAGCACTTTGTATGTGAAGCTAGAGAAACATTTTTTGATCCTCCTTTCTCCTTTGAACACAAAGAAGAATCTAATCTCCATGTAGATGCATTCAGGTATTGTTTTATTATTAGGGTTATAGCTTCTGTATGCAGAAAGTACCTGATGAATACCAATTTATGTCAGCAACATGTGCATCAACTGTAAAATCATGCATTTTAAAATGGTGTTAATTTTGTAGCTTGTTCAAAAGCATATCACAGAGCAGTCCATCTGCTTACAAGAGAACTTTGTTCTTTATATATTTATAGTGGCAAACTGAGGTGAGAAGTGATATCATTTAAGAAGACTATTCACACTGGCTTCCTCTCAGCTTCACAACTGAACCAACAAATACCTATACACATGCATCAAATGCTGGTCTTGCTTCATGCAGGTTTCCTTCTTGAATTCGCCTGTTGATCTCCTACTGCTTGGTCCAGCTAAGGAAAGTCATCAAAGCACTCTACATTTCCAGAACTGAAAATATTGTTTGTTCCTCTCCATTGCAATATGTTGTAGACAGGAAAACCTGATGTTTTCATTTCATGCAAAGAATCTAAAATGGGAATGAGGAACTTCTGGGTCAGGTCCCCATCCAGTTTACCAACTTCTCTGCTGGCTTATCTCCAACTACAAGTTAGAGATAAAAGTTTCTCTTCCTCTGTCCCTTGCTGCAGTGAGGCGTTAAAAAGCTGTGAGCAGATATTGACAACAGGGACTTCATAAAGCCTCCTTGCCGTATGCCTGGAGCTTTATAGGGGAGGGTCACTATAAGACAATAAAGAATTAGTCTTCCCTAGTGCCACCCCCCCCCCCATTGGCTTATTTTTATGGATTGTTGTGGGAGAGACAAAGAGGTCATGATTCTCATCACATGGCAGACAAACTGGGGGCAGTGTCCCTGTTCTTTAACCATTTCTACTTGGCAGTGGGAACAGTTGGACAGAATGAGGAACCTTGAGTTGTTGTGAGTGACATGCAACCCAGGCCAATATTATAAATTGGAAGTAAGTATACCATGGGAGTGGTCTGACAGAAAATAATAGTTGGCAGTCATTAAATTTATGCATTAAATTTTACAAGAATTGAGCAGGTCTGTCATAGATAGGACAATTTGGAGGTCTTTCATTCATGTGGTCACTATATGTCAGAAATAATTTGATGGCACACAACATTCTGAGAAGAAAATATTAATTGAATTGTGCTCTATCATGTTAATTTAATTGATCATTTCCGTAGTTCCCTCTTTTAAGATTCCATTTTTCCCATGAAAGCTCTTGGACCCTGTAGTCAAATAAAGGTGGTTCAGTCTTATGTTTGTTTTATGATTCCAGAAAAGACTTCTTGCTTTCTTAATTTGCATCAGATCAGGATTCCAGAAGCAGCAGCTTTATTCAGCATTTACTAAGTGGAACATATGATTATCGGTGTGAAGACGGGAAGAATTCAGGACAAATAGATACCAAGTTTCATTTTTTCATGTATTAACATACACATATATTCTGTGGTGCAGCTCACAGAATTCTCCTATCCAAGGACTGATCAAGGTCACATTTGCTTTAGCTTTAGCATCAGATGCTCTCAAGCCATTCATTAAATGCACATCAGTATTGTATGTGTTGATGCATTCACACTACAGTTTGGAAGCCATCTGAGTGGAATAGTGTACATTGGTGTCCTGCAACAGCAGGGGATTGGACCTGATGGCCTTCATGTCTCCTTCCTACTCTGCTGTTCCATAATTCTATGAAATATAATAATATTTTATTTCAGTAAAATAATCAGAAAAATGTGTTGGGTTCAAGAAAAAATAAAATGGACTAGAATGAATGAATAGTGCTCATGTGTTAGTGCTCCCTGGCAGATTACACTTGACTATGATATGTGTTCTCACAAGTCATGTGCCTCTAATTTGTGTTTCTGCTTTCTCCTGGCCAGAAGCCCCATTGCTTAATCTGTATTTTAACTGCAAGGATATTTACAAGGTTATTTAAGATCCCATGAAACTGCCTTTCCTAGTTTTAAAATTTGTTTTTCATCAAACCATTGAATGAAATATTTGTGTTGAAGTAATTTATAGCACCATTTTGTACATATTTTCTCAGAAGTCAACTTACTATGCTTCTCTTTTTATTTTATAGGCAAAAATGGCACAGGTTAAGCAAGTGGGTCTATTAGGTGCTGGGTGTCAGCCATGGAATAAAGATGTATGTGCTGCTAGTGGGGATAGATTTGCCTATTGTGCAACCCTTGCTATTTATATATATCAGGTAAGATAATCTTTTAATTTTTCAGACTTGTATGCAAGTGTCTACTAAAGCTGCTATTTATTTCAAATAGTCTGATTTTATCTAACAAAGATACTGCTTGAAAGCAGTAGTCCTGCATAAGGCTATTTATTCACATCTGCTTCACCAGATGAATCCAGCAAGTTTAATGGATCCTACATGATCCTAGGGACTGCAGGTGGCACAGTGGTTTAAACCGTTGTGCTGCTGGGCTGGTTGATCAAAAGGTCGCCGGTTCGAATGTGCACAACAGGGTGAGTTCCCGTTGCTCTGTCCCAGCTCTTGCGAGCCTTGCAGTTCGAAAGCATGCAAATGCAAGTAGATAAAAAGGTACCACTTTGGTGGGAAGGTAACAGGGTTCCATGCGCTTCGGTGTTTAGTCATGCTGGTCACATGACCATGGAGACTGTCTGCAGACAAACGCGGCTCCCTTGGCTAGGAAACGGAGATGAGCATCGCCCCCTAGAGTCAGGCATGACTGGACTTAATGTCAAGGGGAAACCTATACCTTTACCTTTACTTTGCATGATCCTACATGTCATCACATGTACAGTTAGAATGCACCAAGGAGCTCTACTGAAGAGTGTGCAGTGGAGCTCTCAGAATCATCCCAAATTGGGTGGACTTCGATCCAATGTTGGAAAATTCCCCTTTTGCATGACATCCTGACATCCTGCCCAACATTATTTAATGTGGTTCTTCAGCTCTCAGGGTAGCCTCCTGGGAGTCACAGGTAACTACAAATGGAATGAAAGGGTGGGACAGTTTTGTTTTGTGGATTTCCTCATGTTAATTTATCTTACTATGGAATCTGGTAGCTGTTAAGTTGCTAGCACTACTTAAATACATGTTTTATTGTCAACTTTTTATAATTGCCAAAAAGCAAAGTAAACCTAAATTCACTGAATTTAAAATGTCTTTTTAGTTGGATCATCGGTACAATGAATTCAAGTTATGGGCAATTATGTCTGAGCACAAGAAGACAATCACAGCCATTTCTTGGTGTCCTCATAACCATGACCTGTTTGCAAGTGCAAGTGCGGATCACTTAGTAATAATTTGGAATGTGGCTGAACAAAAGGTTTCTGCAAAACTTGACAATACAAAAGGTATGTGAGAAACCAAAACCTTAACACTTATGTACAACAAATCTGCCAGTAGTCATGGGATAAATCCAAAGACACCTTTCTATTCATGAAAGAACCTTTGATCTAGGACAGATTCCCACAAACAGAAGGGGTGATTTTTGCTATTCCGATTGCTGGGCTTCCCCCAAAAATTCTTCCAGAGGATTGAGAAACTTTTGGAACAGTATGTGAAGTAGCTGCAGAGGGGAAGAGGGAACCATACACTTCTTTCTCCTTATAGCAGACTCTGGTGGATTGAAGGCACTTGAATTCATGAATTGAGCAATGTCTTTGGATGAAACCTGTGCATAAATTACATTTTGGAGCAATGAATATAACTGGTTAAATATGCCAAATAAATATGGGCAATTTTACTAACAAGAACTTGAAATTTTTATTTGGTTTTCTTAATGTAGAGATCCAAGACTATAATACAAATCTGAAAATATCAATCTATGTCTTACATGATTGTGGCAGTAAAATATAGTACTTTTATCAATGAATTCTTTCATAGCATTTGGTTTACACTTCAAGACACTGGATATTTGAAGATTAGCTGTGGTAGTAGAATCTTACAAGGCTCATCAAATTTTATCTTGCTCAGAAACTTCTTAGAATATCTCTCAGGAGTCATAGCAACATTTATATAACTGGCACAGTGATTTTTTTTTAAGAATGTGCAAATGTCTTGTGTTCAAAATGGTTTTCATATTTTGGTTGAGAAGAGAGCTGATCCATGTATGCATTCCTTTGCCAATGCGAATCTTCTCACCGCCTGAATGAGTGGTCAGTCTGCAGATCCAAAATTTTAGTTGGTTTTCTTAATGTAGAAATCCACTACTCTATAAGTAATACCAGTCTGAAAATAGTGATCAAGATACAGTATATAGATAAATACAGTAGTTATATTTTTAGTATAAAATGGGAAGGTGGAAGATCACTGTGGTGAAGAGAGGTGGCTCTACTAGACCATGGCCATGAATTAGAGTATAAAATGCACAAGTTGATTAGATGTCCTTTGGACAAGACAAATGAACATGTATTTAAAGGCAGACTTATTACCAATTCCAGTGTAACACTTTTTAAGCTGAAGTATGTTTTGGAATAGTTGCTATGGATAAATAGTTTATGTTAAATTGGAACTTTTCCGTCTTGTTCAAGCAAATACCAGGTCTTTCTTGCAAATGTTATGCACCTTTTCCATTACAATCTAATGACTTTTTTATGTGTTTCTCCAGTAAAATTATTCTTTTGGAGGAGAAAAATTTAATAGAGTCAACACATTATGTTTTTAATGTTAAGACTGAGTAGTGCACTGGGGGAAGAACATTAATTAAGACTGACATGCTATACATAATTCAGAAGTAAGTCCCATGGGATTCAGTGAAATTTCCTTCTGTTAAGTGTGTATAGGATTGTAGCCTAACCTGCCCTTTTGATTAATTTCAGTATTGCACTACTGGAGATAATATCTGCATGTTTTTTCAAAATTTTTGATTTGTGTTTATGTTTCAGGTATTCCTGCATCTCTTAGTTGGTGCTGGAATGCAGGTGATGCGGTTGCATTTGTTTCCCACAGAGGTCCACTGTATATTTGGACAATTTCAGGACTGGACAGTGGAGTAACTGTCCATAAGGAAGCTTATAATTTTTTGTCAGACATTTGTCTCTTTCGATGGCATCCCAAGAAGAAGGGAAAAGTAGTGTTTGGACACATAGATGGAAGTCTTTCTATTTTTCAGCCAGGTAAGAATATATGTTGGAGACAGACAACTCTTGCATTGGGTGAGAAGTACTGTTATTTTGAGATTTTTTCCCCCATTTGTACTCCTTTTTAATGGATTATACATGGGAGGGAGGGGAAATCTTAACCTTGTGGAGCATAAAGTTAGTTTTAAATTAAGGCAGCAGGGTTCAGTAATACAGCTTCTACATAAACATGTTTCAGAAATACAGTGTGCTCATACTAAGAAAGGCCTGACCAATACAGATGTAATCATTTGTTGGAGGTTTCAATGATTAAAGATGATGCCAGTCACTTTTTACAGTCACTTGATACATTAATTTACCACACTGAAGAAAGGGTGGGCACTGAAGTATGAGATGTGCCAAGAACATTTTTCTGATCACAAGAATATGGATTTAGACAACCAGTAAAATATGGTTTTTGGAGGGCTGTTTGAAGAAAAGGGAGATTGTCATTGCTTCTGTTGTGCATGCATCTGTAGAAAACTATAGACGTTGACATACAGCATCTCCAGATTTGCTTAGATGAATAAAGAAACTGACGGACATATTCATATTACTATAATTGCATTGCTTTAATGGTAGTTTAAATTTTGCTAAGAATGGGTACTTGTAATTCATTTTTATTTTCTTCAATTTTGACAATTCAGAAATGTGCTTGTTAGCATATAAATTTAATCTATAATTGAAAGCACTAAAGTGAAAATTGTTATTCATTGTTTTATTCAGACTTCCTTTTTCCAGCCATGTATTCCACCTTGGATTAATTTTAAAAAGATCCAAGTGATACTCTGATTCCCTATTGAATCAATTCTATCAGAGCAAGTTCTGATGTGATATTTTGTTTGAAGTTACAAATGTAAAGCTACTCCCCCTCCCCCATGCACTGGAATTAGAAACTACATGCTAAAATTAACTGAACCAATTAGTTCTTGTTCAGTATAAATATAGCAGCATTTATAGCTCCATATGATCCATGGAGCTAGGTTTTTTATAATTTTGGAATCAAAGCGTACTGATAATTTTCTAGTGACAAAGTTATGAAACAATCGATCCATCCACTAGACTGAGAAAACACACCCTGCTTTCCATAGGCTTGGTGGTACATCATATGGAAGATTGACCTGAGTGATCCAGGTGTTAAAGTTTGCCAAAAATCTTTCTGAATTGTCTTTCGGTGTACAAGACACTTACAGCCTAGTATAAGTGGAAATTGCATTAATAATAATGACCATATAAGTTTCTGTCGCAAAAAGCATTCAGTTACCCCTATCCAGAGCTCTGGATGATTTCTCAAGTTCCCATGAAGCATTTGCTTAAGCAGGCAGTCCGGTTCACGTTATTGGAGAGACAGTATAATGAGGATGAAATGATGAATATGAAGGCGGCCACTTCAAACTTTGACGTGAATAGGGCACTGTGTGGCTGAGGTTCATCATCTGACCACTATACTCTCCTCATATGCAGCAAATCACTATGTTGGCGGCTGCATTGGCACTGTAAGTTGTTTAACGTTGGAGCTGAAAAAATCAAGTAAAAATGTGCCAAGTAGAAAATTCATATGTCATATGTAAGAAGCTGATGCAGAATTGCATTTGTTGATAATGGAACCTAATCTGAACTCTTAATCTTTAGTAAGACACTAATAGAAAATTATAGTGAATGTTCTTCCTTCCCATGATTCTAAGACTAAAATGTTATTTTACCCTGCTGAAAAGAACTGAGCACCTTCAGTACTATAATTTAAAGCTGAGTCATTGAGTAACTTCCACAATGTATCAGTATCTTTAATTACTTATATTTTGTTTTCTCCAATGAGTTCTCTTTATTTTCCACTAATTAGTTCTTTATCATGACTAGCAACACAGTGGGGGCATCCAACAAGAAAGGAGAGTGTTGATGTCAGAAATATGTGGATTTTATTTATGTGAATTTTTAAAGTTATATATTAACTTTATCATGGAGGTCCAAATCATTTTGGCAGCCTGATTCCGTGCATGTTTAACTTGCAATAAATCTCACTGAGTTTCATGGAACTTGCTTCAAAGTTAATTAATGTACATGGAATTGCAATTTTATGCATGTGTGATCTTTAATAATACAGGGATTAATTTTGATTTCAAAGCAAGCATGTTTCTTGCATGTATTGCTCCTGTGACATGTTCTTTCGGGTTAGTGCTAGAAAATCACCTTTAATTATCAGGAACAATAGAAGGTTCCTGGAAATTGCATTGGCTCACACCTTGTCTGGTCATTAAAAAAAATGAGTAAGTTGCTAGGAAGCTGTAGTCCAGGGAGGGGAAACTGAAGCTTCCAAAAGTCCCTGAAGTGTATTGTCAGCTCCTGCAAACATGTCCAGTGATGGAAATTGTGGTTCTACAAAATCAGGAAGTCTCCCAAGTTCTGCATCCCTACTCCAGTATGTATAATGGATTCCCTCTAGAGGCAAGGTACTATTTCAGGCTGTCAGTGCCTTGCACATTGTAGTATGGGGTTGGATGTTTCTGCTATAGATCAGGGCTTTCACATGGGTTTGGTCAGTTTCTCATGGAGGCAAGGCAGAAGAAGATTAGCACTATAGAGAGTTCCAAAAAGGGGATTGAAACTGGACAGGGTCTGTTTGTTGCTTCAGCAAGGGGAGGAGCAAGAGTGATGTTTAAATAAGTATGTGCTTGTGTTTAGGCTGGTGGGGCTCAATCTTCATACTGACTGAGATGTCATTTAAAAAGGCCTGTCCTGTTTCAGCAATCGCAGGCTATGACAACATGGGAGTAGCTATGGCATGCTGGTGTCCTTACATCCTGAGTCTGAAGATAGTGATGTGATGCTGTCTGGATGCAGGGACTCTGTTTGCTATTTTTCTGGAAAACTCGCTCTGTGCATTGCCTTTCCATAGCAGAGCCCTCACAAAGAATCATTAACTCTGGAGTATCTTTGGAGGATCCTCTTGAGGATGAGGATCTGAAGGCCAGGTTTATGACAGTATTTTTTTCATAGCATCCCTAATGAACAGCTGCCATATCCCAGGACAATAGATTTGCCCTGATAAACTATCAAGGCAGATCAGGTATCAGTTTTATAATTTTACCTACATCTTGTTTTAGTTTAGGAGAACAGTACTTTCATAGTCACAGTTTTATAGAATCAGTTTTGCTAAGTGGTTGCCGAGAGTTTTCCTCCTACAATAACTGCCAGTGTTCAGTGTGACAGGGTATAGGCTTGACACATTTATAACTTGTGGAGATAGGACTTGGAGGGCAAACTGATTTAAGAATTATTTTTAAAACTGATATTCATATTTTTATTTATTTACTTCTGCTTATATCTTATTCAACATTAACAAAAAAATGCCAGGGTGAGAAACAACCAGCAACAATACTAAAAACAGCCAGCACTAAACAGCCAATACTAAAAACCATATTAAAAACAATACTAAAATACTAAGAAATTACCCCATCCCTGAAAAATAAATCAACAGATAATCATCAGAGAAAACACATTTTCAACAATAAATCTGTCCTGGAGACTAACCACTCACAAATGCCTCTGTATTATATACTTATTTGAATGTAAATTTATTTTGCAATACTAACTTATGTCAATATGTAAGTTATATATTTTTACTTTTCAAGGTTCAAAAAGTCAGAAACATGTTCTAAGACCAGAATCACTTGAAGGGACAGATGAGGAAGATCCTGTCACTGCTCTGGAATGGGACCCTCTGTCAACAGATTATCTTCTGGTTGCAAATTTGCACAATGGAATCCGTCTTGTTGATTCAGAGTCTCTCTCTTGTATCACAGTCTTTCATTTTCCTAGTGCAGCAGCATCTGTTCAGTGCTTAGCTTGGGTTCCTAGTGCTCCTGGAATGTTTATCACAGGAGGTAAAAAAAGATCTTAACACACTGCTTTATTAGATAGTGAGATACATGATAAAGAGAGCACAATTTAGGGAACAAATAATGCCAATTTGATTACTGTGTAGTATGTTCAGTATGTAAGCAGCAAGAACAAGGACAGACTAAATATTTTAAGAGGGGCAGAAAAGATTTCCTAGAACTATCACTGCTCTCAAACTGTATGCACATTTCTCTGTCTTGAGGCAGATTCTATGTGGAAGGTTCAGTTTGAATGGGGAAGGAGAAGTTCGCTTAGGTATGATTAGCAGCATGTGTAAACATGGTTGGTTGTTCAAAATTTACATGAATATATCTCTCCTAACACCTGATGGTTCACCGGATGCATAAGAGAAATTGATGGGAATACAAATTCACCAAATCAATATTTGATTTTTTGGTGTGTGTTTCAAAATTCTAGCTGTGAAATCAAACTTGCTAGGCAAAGCTCATATATGCCTTTGCCTGTAATACTTCACAAAACAGGGCATTTTTCTTGGTCTATTTCTACTTATTTTTGCTCGATAGTTTGCTTTTGTGCTTATCTTTGTCTTGTATAACAACAACATGTCCTAACTAGCTAAGTAGGCTGCCATTGTTAGTTTCTTGAATTGGTGGTCTATCTTTATTTTGATATTCAAAAAAGAAATGGATTTTTTCTTTTTAATACAGATTCTCAAGTTGGTGTGTTGCGTGTTTGGAATGTATCACGAACAACACCAATAGATAATTTTAAACTGAAGAAAACAGGTTTTCATGGTTTTCATGTTCTTTGCTCTCCTCCTAAAAAAAAAAGTAAGTATATACTTTTAATTTTGTTATTATTTCCTGTCTAGAAAAAATATGTGCTGAATCAGTGAACCTAATTCTGGGTTTGCTCTTTTAAACTGTTAGTACTTAAATATAATCAGGATCTTTTAAAAGCTGCATTTCTTTTAAAACACCAAATTGTTTCCTGAAAGGTTGTTTGTTTTCTACATAAAAAGCATTCCTTCTTGGAATCATGGGAAAACATTTTTAGTTCTCATTTTAGTGAAAAATGCATCCAACTTAAGAAGATGGTACATCTTTACATGCAGATAAATGATGCCTTACAAACAGTTTTAAAAGGTCATTGGTCCTTGAGTGATGCATTCTATCCATTTTCCTCCATCTGTAATTTTTTCACCACTTTGCAATCTGTTTTGCATGCCCTTTTGCTTGCCTGCACAACACTGTTTCACAAGCTAGGAATATGGCAGTATTTCCTGTCCGTTCAAAGCTACGTAGCACATGGAAGCAGTGCCCTGTTCTTCACATCTGCAAGAGGAGCTGTCCTGCCTTCTTGTTGCTCCTAAACTGAAACTACTGGGCGAAGCCATATGAATCCTTTCTTGGACTTATAAAACTGCATTAGGGCAGCTGAAGACCACAGTACAAGTGTCATAAATTGTAAAAATGTGTGTTGGGCCATGTTTTTTGTTACCTAGATAGCAGCTAAGAGGAAGCCTGAGGAGCCTTAAACAGTTGAGGTGGGAATGGGTTCCTTTCTTTGTCATGGTTGTCTCTCAGAAACATCTATTTGCATTTCAAAAGAAGTCTGACAGGCAAATTTGTTTACTGTTCTAGAATACTAACTCAGCTTATTGCTGGCATGTTGAAGTCTACTAATGAATCTTTCCCTCCTAATTATTCCCACTGGCCATTTCTTGCATCATTTCGTACCACCTTGGATTTTGTCAACATTACTCTGTAATCAACCTTTGTTTCCAAAGCCTTGATTGATATCTGAATCAGTTTTAAATATATAGTACTGACATGAGATAACTCGTTAGTAGTAGATACAGTGACATTTTAAGAAAAATCAAACAGTATGTAGTCTACAGTATTAGACTGCATAGATTTTACAGAAGCTGGCTATACTGGCAATGTGCAGCACAATTTTTCATTGCACCCGCTGCAGAGGATGCTACTAATGGAAAAGAGAATTAATTACTTCTGGTCTGTCAGAATCACATAGCATATGTCACCAAATTGGACTTGGGGCTTATGAAAATGTGGTAATAAACTGTTCTAACTTAACTGGTTTGCTGGTATAATATAGTGGGTTCAGTGCATGAACTAGAACTGAAATAGTTCAGCTATGAACATAGTAAATTGTTTTAAGAAAGGAGTGATTGTTTTAGGCTTGGTGTCCCTGTCTGAGAAGGAGAGAATACCACCACCACCAAAGGATGGGTGTAAGGATTAATAGGAAATGTAGAAAGTGCTTTGACTACTTGGAGAAGTATATAAATACCAATCCCTCTTGTCACAAAGTTCTTGTAAGTGTTATCACCATGCCTATGACTGCATGCAATCAGTTAAAGGGAAACATGTTTTAATGCAGTGCACACATCCAAACCTGCAGGAGTTGTGCTCACATACTCTGTTTTTGAAAGCAAACCTTAAATAACTTAAGAGTTTAAGTACCAAGTAAGGGCGCCTATAGTAAGTAAGGGTCCCTTCCTCCTTGGTGACTATCATTACTTACCCACTGTTTGTTAAAACATGAGGAATTATTAAAATAAAACCAATCAAAAACTCTGAAAATATATGTTCTTATATAAAACCTTTTAAACTACCAGTGGCTCTTTAACTACAAGTGGACAATGCTGGGTTTTTTTAAAAAAAACTAAGGTACAACATAGACAGTATACTAATATCTTTTATCTTTTTAATTCAGCATTTTGTTCACAGTCTCCTTCTAAAAATCATCACTTGTCATCTACAAGTGAGGCTGCTCCACCTCCAACTCTAACCCAAAACCAGGCATTTTCTCTTCCTCCTGGGCATGCTGTCTGCTGTTTTATGGATGGAGGAGTGGGACTTTATGACATGGGGGCCAAGAAGTGGGATTTTCTTAGGGATCTGGTATGCCTACTTTCACTTCTAATCTTTTGACTAAGGTTCAGTTCACATATTTGTAATTTTCAAGTGATAACTCCTGATTATCCCTGTGAATCTATAGAAAAGTATATGATCTGGGCCTTCAACAGATATAGCTTCTAATGGTAGTATATATGATCAAGGCAGCACTTCTTACAGCTTATCTGTTTTGTTCATTATATAGGGCATGTGTTAAGTTCTCCATTTGCATTCATCCCTTAAGTTGGAAGGAGAGCATGAAATGAGAGGATTTTTAAAAGTTATGAAACAGCCCTAACAATTAACAGTCCAGTAAAGATAACAAAATGCATGCAAATTTTGAAATTTGCCCCCATTGACAAGATGGCCTTATTAAAGGGTGGACAGGGGTGCTGCATGTCAGTAGCCTGTGGGATACTCAGAGTCCATATCTAATTCTTGAAACCTATTTCCAGTGCATGGAAGAGTCCATGCTGCGGACAAAACAGGAAGCACCCATGGAAAGTGCAAAATGCTCTCAGTCATGGCACCCTGATGCCAGTAATAGCCAATATGTAGAAATAAATAATGAACGGGGAGTGGTGCTGCATAATAACCTTTTGGTCACACCGAATCATACAGCCTTATCTCAGGGAGAAGGGCCTCTTCAACATGGTCCCCAGCCTTCTTATACCTGTCAACACATTTGGGAATTTGTGAAACTGCTGTGGGAGCCACCATAAAATGTGGAGCTTTTTTGCCTACGGCCACCAGCATCCTTTGGTTCTCTACTTCATGTATGTCACTTCCTTCAACTGGTATCTGTTACTAGCTCTAGGATGCAGGAGAGAGTGGGAACATTGAACCTAGGCACATGTCAAGGCAGAGCAGGGATTAAGCAAGTAAGCATATGCAAATTTCAAGGCAGATAAGTGAGGCGGATTAGTAAAAAGTATGCACGTTTTATAGAGCAGCAGTTAAAATGATGAGAAAATTTAATGCCAGAGTAGTAAAACTGAGGGGTAAATGCAAAAGATAAGGCAGTAGTTTTGTGCAAGTGTGTTCAGGACACTTTCCACTGTCCCTTCAAGTTTTTTATGACAAAAAAGTCATCCCAATGTACAAGGTGCAGAGCAGGGATGAGGAAGAATGGAACAATCAAGAGGAGTGGCAAGGGTTTTTCCCTGTTCCTGATGACTGAATTTTTAGCCATTTGTGAGAAGTCATGATAAAATAGCCTTGGCACATTTAGTTCTTAAAAACAACTTACCATGCAAACTAGGTCATGGACTCTCTGCCCTTGTACCCTCCTCTCTGTTAGAAAGGTTGAGCATAAATCAAAGGCATAATAAAATATGCTGTGTTGGTTTTAGGTGCGTGAAGTTTGCTTTAATTGCTCCTAGTTTCAACTGATTTTTCTTCTTGCATGTTAATTATATGTGAAATTTTGTTTGTGACGTGCCTTGAAATGCTCTTTAGAGGGTGAACAGCAGTCTAGAAAATTTTAAAGTACATTTTTGTTCTTTTAAGTAAAGAAAACTTTCGTATAAATATCCGCAGATTTTTTTTACCATCAGCTAATTAAAAGGCTAAAAGGAGGTTTTATAATGGAACTTACCTCTGTTCTAGGGTCATGTTGAAACCATTTTTGATTGCAAATTCAAACCTGATAATCCTGACCTTCTAGCTACAGCATCATTTGATGGAACAATAAAAGTGTGGGATATAAATACTCTAACAGCTGTCTATACTTCTCCTGGTAATGAGGGAGTAATATATTCCCTTTCATGGGCTCCGGGTAAGGATATTTTACTTCATTTTCCATATAGTAGAGAGAATTCTTGCCTTCACATTGTTATGATTTTCTAACAGATAGTCCTGTTAACTATTTGATGCATCATCATCATCATCCTGGTTTTATGTTACAGAAGTCTTTCTTTTGCTTGATTGTGAAAGGTAATGTGTTTTCCTTGCTGCAAGAAGTGGCAGGAAAACTTTTCAAAAGTGTGATGTGTAGGCTTGCAGGAATGGGGAAAAGAAGTGAAATATAATACTTTGATCCAAAATGAATATGTGGTACCAGTTGATTTGTTTTTATAGTATTACTTCTAATTTTGAAAGAGTGGGGAAAGTGCTTGCTGAAATCTAGGAAGCCCAAAGACATCTTTCCAGACAGAGAGAATAGGTATACAAATGACAAATGCAGTCAGTGTAATAAGTATAAGTAATGTACATTAGAACAAAAGGTCCCAGTTTCAATATAAGTTGATGGGATCTGAGCTAACAATGACTGAGTAAGAAACAGATCAGGGGATATGGTTGAATAGCTTCATGAAAATATTGATGCATTGTGTAGCTGCTGTGAGTAAGGCAAATTCTATGTTAGGAATAGCTAGGAAAGGTATTGAAAATAAAGCTGCCAATATCATGCTCTCCTTATACAGATTTATGGTGCAACCACACTTAGAACACTGTGTACAGTTCTGTCACCTAACCTAAAAAATGGTGTTATAGTCTTTGAAAAAGTGCTGAAAAAGGCAAGTAAAATGATCAAGGGCCTGGAATATATGACATCTGGAATTGTTTAGCTATAAAAATAAGCAGAGCTTTGAGGAGGCTTTTTCTGAAAGTGTATGAAAGGTTTCAAGTAGGGAGAGCGAAAGCACCCATCAAGACTAGCCTTTGAATTTAGGAAAGTCTGCTTTAAATATATTGCCTCTTTTGAATGTTTGGAATAAGAAAGCAAGGATAAATGTGTATAACATTCCTTTGCATCCGTTTATTCAATGAACTATTTTTCTGAAGGAGACTTGAACTGCATAGCTGGTGCAACTTCCAGAAATGGTGCTTTCATCTGGGATGTCCCACGGGGCAAAATGATAACCCGTTTTAATGAGGTAAGATAAGCATAAGTTCTTATAAAATGAGGCTATAACTTCCACTAAAGCCCGTGCTAAGAAATGTTCTGCCAGTTATCAACTTGCAGCCTATTTCTGTTAATTTTAAAAGATAGCTGCAAAGCCTCAGCTAAAACCTGTTAACTGTTAGTAAGCATTTTCCCCACTTTTGCAGTTTTTGGAGTAACCCTGTGAAAGTGGATAAAATTATGCACCAATGAATTTAATAAATGGAGTTGAAACAACTTCCTCTTGATAAATGAATATGTAGTGAAAAAAATTACCCCTCACACATACATGCATGCCTCATCCTGGAGAACATTTCAGTCCCCATAAAAATAAACATTAATAAAAATGGAGCTTTGCTGTTGCTCTCTATGGGGACTTCATTATAATATTTCATTGAAAAGAAGAGATCTACAAACAATGTCCTTCAGTGCCAAAAATAAAAAGTTCCAGAGATGTTCAAATGTGTTTTGATCTATTATTTTCTTCAGTTGTCTGGTGTTTTCAAAGGCTTATGAGAAAAAATAAGTACAGAGGCTTATACACACATGTGCATGCCCATGCACGCACACATGTGTACTCACACTTTACAAGCCTCTTCAATTGTATTTGGTTATTACTCTTATGTCATTATCTAAGCTTTGTGGTAAACCATCATGCTACTTGAAGTAGCGATAGAATATTGGAATGCATTCACTTTCTGGTTTTTCTGATTTCTTGCCTGTCACATTCTATATATTATGTGACATAGAGACTGCATCCTATCATTACATATTGTGAGAGGGTGTGTGTGTGTGTGTGTGTGCACTAAACTCCAAGACTAGTAGAAAATATGAATTAATTCTGCTATGAAAGGGTGGGGGTATCTTATAGACCAAAGAAAAAGGGGTGAATTATTTCTTATTGATAGGTATTTTACATTTTTTGAAGCATGGGAAGAATGGAATCTTCTGTATTGCATGGAGTCATAAAGATTCGAAGAGGATAGCAACTTGCAGTGGTGATGGATTCTGGTGAGTGTTATTTAGAAGGCATCTGCGCTGTTACACATAATCCAATGAAGTAATACTTTATCAAAATGTTTACCTGGAAGAATATGCATTGTTAAGACATATTGACATGGAGTAGCATGCTCCAGGGACAGGACTTGCTCATTTTTCTACAAAAATACTTTATGACACTTTAATACCTAATGCTGGATTGCATTTCTCAGCATAAAGCTACAGAATGGTTGATGTTATTCTTGTGACATGAATGTGCCTTTCCATAAAAAACCAGAGAATGCTTCAGTAGTGGTAGTATGTATGCAATGCGAAAAAGTGATAGGCTTCAGCTTCCCAGCACTTGCCTATTTTTATGTGTACCAAAATGTGAAATCATAACATCTATGAGTTTCAAGAAGAACTGATATTAGCATTGAAGCAAGAAAAGTTCTCCAACCTCATATCAAATCTTAAAACAAATTGGTCTTAATAAACTGTCAGCTATCTAAAGTTACCTTACATAGTGATTCTAATCATTATCCCTTCCTTCATTATGGAGAAGCTTATAGACGAGTGATGGTGAACCTTTTAGAGACCAAGTGTCCAAACTGCAACCCAAAACCCACTTATTTATCGCGAAGTGCCAACACTGCAATAAAACCTTTAAACTGAGGGTTTAGTTTAGAAAAAACAACTTGCCGCCAGTCCAAGCAAATATATATATGTCCCGAGTAGTGCACTGACTGGCCATGCGAAAGCTTGGACGAGTCGCGGCTAATGACGTGTGGCATCTGAGGTCATTGCCTGGCACTGCTGCTTCATTGCGAGCATGCACATGGCCCCTATGTGCGCTGTAATCCGATGCTCGGATGCTGCAACGACTTGGCTCACATGCCAACAGAGAGGGCTTGTGTACCCGCTGTGGCATGTGTGCCATAGGTACGCTACCACTGGCCTAACCTTACCGTGGTACACTTCCCAAGACCTAATATAGGGGTAAAGTTCCATTGAAAATAATGTGATTTTGAAAAAACCTTCCTTGAGCAGCTTTTTCTGCACTGCTCATCATTTCTGCCCATTCTAAGCACATTCCAACCATCAAAATCGTGCCTGGACACCTCATTTTTCCTACCCTAACCCTACCCAGGTGCACACCCCTAACCCTTATATGGACTAAATTTCCTTTAAAAAGAGGACGAGTTTGAAAAAGCCTTCCTTGAGCAGCTTTTTTACGCTGCTCATAATTTCTGCCCATTCTAAACACATTCCAACCATCAAAATCATGCCAGGTCACCCTATTTTTCTAACCCTAATCCAGAGTTGGTGAACCTTTTAGAGACTGCGTGCCCAAACTGCATCCCAAAACCCACTTATTTATCGCAAAGTGCCAACACTGCAAGAAAACCTTTAAACTGAGGGTTTAGTTTAGAAAAAACAACTTGCCGCCAGTCCAAGCAAATATATATATGTCCCGAGTAGTGCACTGACTGGCCATGCGAAAGCTTGGACGAGTCACGGCTAATGATGTGCGGCTTGTGACCTCATTGCCTGGCACCGCTACTTCATTCCGAGCATGTGCATGGCCCCTATGTGCGCTGTAATCCGATGCTCGGATGCTGGGGCGACTTGGCTCACGTGCTGACAGGGCTCTGATAAAGTCTTTCTTAAGTAGCTTTTTCTGTGCTGCTCATCATTTCTGCCTATTCTGAACACATTCCAACCATCAAAATCGTGCCTGGACACCTCATTTTTCCAACCCTAACCTTACTCCAGTGCACTCCCCTAACCTTAATATAGGCTAAATTTCCATTAAAAAGAGGGCGATTTTTAAAAAGTCTTCCTTGAGTAGCTCTTTCTCTGCACTGTTCATCATTTCTGCCCATTCTAAACACATTCCAACCATCTAAATCATGCCAGGTCACCTTGTTTTTCCGAACCTAACCCAGAGTTTGTGAACCTTTTAGATACCAATTTTCCAAACTGCCACCGAAAACCCACTTATTTACCGCAAAGTGCCAACACTGCAATAAAACCTGAAAACTGAGGTTGTAGTTTTGAAAAAACAACTCGCAGCCAGTCCAAGCAAATACATACATGTCCTCGGAAGTGCACTGACCTGCTATGTGAAAGCTCGGACGAGTCACGGCTACTGAGTCGCGCCTTGTGACATCATTACCTGGCACCGCTACTCCTTTCTGAACATGCACACGACCACTATGTACGCTGTTATCCGATGCTCGGCTCCTGAGGCGATGCTGGCGTGACTTTGCTCACATGCTCTGTGTGCCCGCTGTGGCCCGTTTGCCATAGGTTAGCCACCACTGTTAAAGACTTTATGCAGTCTCTTGTTTGTGCTTCCAGGGTACTGCATAAGGGAATGCTACATATTGCAGGAATTTTGAGCGTATGGCAACCTCCTTGGTAGCTTATGAATATAAAATTGCAATTTTTTGAGGAAATTGAAAAGAGTTTTCCAAATGTGCAATATTACTTAAATTATTAGCTGTCCAAATCACTGTATTTCTTTATAAGGGAACTGTTTAAATATTTTTAAATTCTGTAGAAAGAAACATCCACTGCTAGCAATCCTCACCCTATCATTCCTATGCTTTGTACTGATTAAATTTGTAGGGAGGGTTTAGCAACTTGTGGCC